TTTTCCTCTCCCTCAGGTCTGAAGCAATACTGATCAATCTGATAGAGTTTAACACTTAAAACAGCGATTCCCAACCAATTTAGTTCCCCAGGGAGAAAGCGTAAAAATCATGGTAATGGCGTCAGTGCAACCACCCCGCACTGGGTCCGCAAGGTTAGCAGGTCCATCGGGTGGCACAAGCACTTAGGGACACCCGATGGATATGTGCTACGAGGGGCCCGGTCTTGCGCTGCAGCACTTTAATTGTGCGACCGGGCCCCTTCTATCCTGACCGGAGAGCCCCTTCTATCAAGACGCACACTTCCTCCCAGCTGTTACCAACCGCAGAGGGGGCAGGGCAGAGAGGATGGGACCTCAACTCTCAACAGCCTCAGCAACAGAAGCCACCCAAAAGGTATGTGTATGTGTGTTTTGGGTGTCAGTATGTATGTAGTGTATGTGTGTGTATGTCTTGAGTCTCTGTGTGTGTGTCAGTGTATGTATATTTGTGTGTGTAGGTATATCTGTGTGTGTCACTGTATCTGTATATATTTGTGTGTGTCAGTGTATCTGTGTGTCAATATATCTGTGTGTGTGTGTCAGTGTATCTGTATATGTGTGTGTCAGTGTATCTGTGTGTCAGTGTATCTGTATTTGTCAATGTGCATATCTGTGCATGTGTGTGTCAATGTGCATATCTGTATGTCTGTGTGTCAGTGTGGGAATCTTTATGTCTGAGTATCTGTCAATGTGCGTATCTGAATGTTTGTATGTCAGTGTGTGTGTCAGTCTAGGTATCTGTATGTCTGTGTGTATGTTGTTGTGTGTCTGTATATGTGTGTGTGTGTGTGTGTATCTGTAAGTCTGTATATCTGTGTGTGTCAGTGTGCATGTCTGTATGTTTTTGTATCTGTGTGTTTGTCAGTGTGCGTATTTGTATGTCTGTGGGTCAGTGTGTGTATCTGTGTGTCAGTGTGTGTATCTGTGTTTGTATGTGCGTATCTGTATGTCAGTGTGCGTGTCAGTGTGTGTATCTGTATGTCTGTGTATCTGTCAGGAATACTGACGAAAGTTCCATTAGAGAACTGAAACGTTGATCTACTACTGGCAGATGCCTGAATAAAAGCTAAGTTTTTTCACAATATATTTCTTTTAAGTCCTTGGAGTGCTATCATTACTACATTTCTATTATTTGGCTGTGAAGCACCGGGCTCTAACTCCCTATCCTGGAGTGCAAGCAATTGGAACTTTTTCCCTATCCTGATCGTTGTGCATGTCTGATCTGCAACTACAGGAAACGTTTGGTTGAAGTTGTTCCTGCCAAAGGAGGTTCAACCAGTTATTAAATCCAAGGATTCAAATACTTTTTCCACCTGCACTGTGAATGTTTACACGGTGTGTTCAATAAAAACATGGCAACATTTCATTCTTTGTGGGTTATTAGTTTAAGCAGACTGTGATTGTCTATTGTTGTGACTTAGATGATGATCAGATCACATTTTATGACCAATTTGTGCAGAAATCCATATCATTCCAAAGGGTTCACATGCTTTTTCTTGCAACTGTGTGTACACAGTCTGCTTAAACTAATAACCCACAAAGAATGAAATGTTGCCATGTTTTTATTGAACACACCGTGTAAACATTCACAGTGCAGGTGGAAAAAGTATTTGAATCCTTGGATTTAATAACTGGTTGAACCTCCTTTGGCAGGAACAACTTCAACCAAACGTTTCCTGTAGTTGCAGATCAGACATGCACAACGATCAGGAGTAATTCTTGACCATTCCTCTTTACAGAACTGTTTCAGTTCAGCAATATTCTTGGGATGTGGCCTCCTAGTGGCCTTAAGGAGGATCAGAGACCCACAGGAAGGCTACAGAGGCACACCGCACCTGATCGGGAGTAAACACCAAACCCCCTGGAACTACTGATCACGAGCGCTTTCTGCCTTAGAATCACCTAGCAGGGCTAATTTTAGAGGGGAGATAGAGGAAATGGTGAGGCATCCAACAGTACCCTGGACTTGAGGTAGCTCCACGTACTTGTGGAAAGTGCCATTGTTTTGGGTGACCAGGATTTTCTATCCAGTGTCATGGAACTCTGCGCCGGATTGGAGGATGGTCACGGCCCAGTTAAAACTTTACTTCCAGATAACGTGGGCCAGCCACCTCCGATCCAGACACTTTTTGGACAGAGTAGGTGCCCAGAAAAGAGCTTTTGGTGAACATTTGTTTGGGGATGTGGGCACAGGAACCCTAACTTTTATGTGGTTTTGTTAACCGGGTGCCAAGGTGTCTGGCTGCTAATTAAATTACTTGCTCAGGCACAGATACCAAGGCGCTGGGGATGTTACAATACTATTGTTCTCCTGGGGTCCTCCTGTTGAGGCCATAGGCATAAAATTGTGACCTGTGGGATAATAAAATCAGTTCAACTTCACCCTACAATAAGTCTCGGCTAGAGCTTTAGGAGAATCTGCTATACTGCTATAAACACTGAGAATACACTGGGAGCTATAATCTATGAGGGAATATAAATCTTTGGAGTCCCCTGCAAGTAGGCCTCCACAACATAGTTTCAAAATTGCATAAATATATTTGTTTAAAGGGAAACTATAGTGCTAGGAATGCAAAGTTGTATTCCTAGCACTATAGTACCCTTTAGTGCCCCCCTCCCTTTAATTACCTGATTCCAGTGTCGATGTCGCTCGGCGTTTGGTGAGGCTTGGCCTCCGCTACTTCTTTGCCGATGTCAGCCAACATGGAGGCCTAATGTGCATGTAAAGCAAGTGCCGCAATCGCATTAAGACTGCAGACTGTGATTGTCTATTGTTGTGACTTAGATGATGATCAGATCACATTTTATGACCAATTTGTGCAGAAATCCATATCATTCCAAAGGGTTCACATGCTTGGAAACTGAATTTGCTAATTTTAGAACAAAACAGTGTATTTGTAAAAATTATTCACCTTTATTTATCCAGTTTGATCATTTAGATCTAACATTTGTAATCTGTTATTTTTAGTTTTCCACATACCTTAGGAAGTTAACCCCCTTCATTGCTAGTCATTTTCCAACCATTATAGACACCATATACATAACTGATTTATCCCGGGACAGCCAGGTATACAATGCAAAATAAGAAATAAAAACCAGTAGGAATATTTATAAAAAGAACATTGACCGCTAAAGTTTAGGTGGAAGGCAATATATAATATAGGTGTGAAGCACGGAGTTCCTTTATATGGAGTTTCCATTTATGCAGAGTTCAACGTGGCCTCTAAACTAAAATTACACCAAACTGTCAGTCTGGTAAAAACAACCTTTATAATAAATACACAATCATACAATAAAATGTGTCAATGTTGACATAATACAATGGAGCTACATGCAAACTGGTAGATTTTAAGAAGTACATTTTGTAGCCCTACCAGTAGCTGTATGCTTTACTCCATTTGTTCTCTGTAACACAATCAGCTAGATCCACCATATTTTTATTGATGCAAATGATATGTATATATATATATATATATTCTGATGGGCAGAACATGAACAAGGTTATGTATAAAAAGTGTCATGTTCTGGAAAACGGTCAAACGTACCAACGGTGAGGTAGTCACCATGGAAACCAATGGAAACAAAAGCAGGCACATTGCATTCAGAACAAATGCTTTGGTCTGTTCTGCAGTTTGTTGTACTTTATTGCTTCAAGTAGAAAATCAAGAAATTAACTAATGAGGGATCCAAGTGATGTATATCCAGGAAAACATGGTCTGGAAACCCTGCATTCAATGGGTTATTCATTAAAGAGATAATTATTGGGAATTAATAGTGATTTCTAAGTGAATTTGAAATGTAAGGCCAATGCAGCCAAACTGGAAGCATTACTGACTTGGAGAATATTTCCAGTTTGGCTATTTTTACCTTAAATTTGAAATTCACTTTGAATTCCTGACTGTTCTCATTTTAGTGAATAACCCTATCAAAATAGCTGGAATTTTCTAAGCTCAGCTCTTTTAACCTTAAATTTGAATAATCCTGTATTTATTTATAGAAATAAACTCAGTAAATATTTATTGAACACTGGATATCGCCTTCTTCCTAGCACACCTGATTTCCATTCCCACAAAATCCAGAGTTGACATAAGGAGGCAGCAATCACATTACCTGGATGATATCCACCCTGACAGGATGGCTGTCTTGGTACTCTTGGGCTATAGCTTGTTCCTGTCATGGGGTGAGAGAAGATCAGATTAAACATATATATTTTTAATGTTATTGCAATCAATTACTTATGAGGTTAACCTTGATTACCCTTTAATTTCAGTCTTTTTTCTGGATATTCATATTTTCACATCAGTGGATGTAGCTGCATTCTGAACGATGCTGATTACTCAAAACACTAAATAATTAATACTGACCTTTAAACCAGGCTCAACTAGCCCATGACTGAAATAGCTCAAATAAAGCATGTTTTCAAATCTGCTATTTTAGCCTAACTTTTGCTATTTGTATTTTCAATTTACTACAATTGACTGAATACATTCTTACTAAGTTTTAAACCTTTAAGCACCACATGAATGAACTATGACTAGTCCCTACCCATGCATTTTTATGCAATTTTTTTGTCTTTTTTTACGTGTACCTATTTCAAGCAGAAGAAAATAGGTTCTCCCTTTTCACCTTAAAGTTAACTCCCATAATTCATACATTTCCACCATAAAGTGTGTGGCATTCAAATGGCCATAACATTAATTAGTTTGGTTTCTATTTCATGTAATTTTTCAGCTGCTCTGTTTTGATTATGTAGGCTTTCATTAATAAAACAACCTACATAACCATAAAAAGAATTGTTCTATTCATGAAGCAGTTTAACAAGTTATGCTAAATTACAAGTATTTAATAATAATGTTGCATGGATGTGCATGAATGCTCTGTAATAGTTATTTGTAACATTTGTAGTGTTAATGTATCTAAACTGTTTCCACTGCACGCAGCCATTTCAGGTGGTCAACTGCATGAAAGAGTTACTCATTCCCAAGAGTCAGAGGGAGGCGGCTCCATTAATACCTCAACAGGTGAGGTTTTTAGGCATTTCCGATGTGATGAATGAGGAACATGTGGCTTCAAAATATTTTATCTTCCCAGAACTAGTCTAATTATGGCAAACAAATCCAAACTACAGTCAAAGTAGTCACGGTTTAAATTTGGATTCCTTGTAGGTATTATTCCTCACAAACTAAAGCTTGCTTAAAGTAGTTGTATACTCCACAAACAAATGTTATTCAGTTAGTTTATTACAGCAAATGTCTATTGTTTGGAAATGCCATGTCCATTCTGATATATAAAACACTAGCTAGAACATGTTTAGAGACCTGGGGGGGGGTGAGGGGGGGAATAAAGCATTTTCAGAATAGCATGATGCTTGTAGGTGTTATAGCTTTGAGATACAACTTATATATTATACATACACATATACATTCACATGTGGAAAGACTGCCTAATTAACAAGTATTTGACAAACTGAGCATACCACACTCACACTTGGGAATCCAGGTGCTTATCAGGGCTAGGGTTTGGGAAAATCCAGTTTTGTTAATAAAATAAATTAAGTCCATATCCAAGCAGAAACGGTTTGCCTAGGATTTTTATCATTGATTTAAAGTGGCATAGTCTTCCCCACCTTAAAAAAAAAAAAAAAGAGTATTTCGGAAATATAGACTATGAAATGCCCAATTTTAATTGTGTTGGAATTTTACAGAGATTCAAACCCAGTCAAGAGATATTCAGGGCAAAGTAGAGACTATTTTGTCTATGTATTTCTCCTCATCATGACTTTCTCAAACTCCGTATGGAATCAGAGTCAATCCTGACGGGCGTCACCAGTGTCTATGGAGGTCTCGCAGGATCCCCCATAGACCTCAATGCTGTACTTTCGCGCATGTCAGCGCCGATTAGGACTCCATCAGTTTAAGATGGCAGCGCCTGCGATGGACAGGTTCAGGTAAGTAACTTCACGTTTAACTGCCTGCTACTGGACCCCCAGCAGCGATGTTCCTATTTGTGGAGTGGGGTATATGAAATCATGGTTTGCAATAGCTGCAGATCTAGTATCTACAGTTAATGCAATCCCTTCTCTTATTCCCCATCCCAGAATTTCTGTGGCTGTCTAATCAGACTTTTAAATAATCTGTGTTACAACTTGAGATGTCTTTGCAAGCCAGGTGCTCTGGGCATTTGGCACTTCTGTTTAGTTTCATAGAGCTAAACTGCCAGGAAGTAACATTAAGGACTACCTGTCTGTCAGCTGGGAGGTGTATTCAGGTTAATTTATAAAAGTAAACTCTTTTATTAAATGAAAAAGAGGACACACTCTTCTGGATGTTTTTTGAGTGTTACTTTAGCATATCTAGAGTTGATCATTTTGTGCTGCTTTTCTGTGCCATTTTTTTTTCTCATTGCCTTTGATATTTTGATATCTTGATATATGTGCTGGTCAGCATCAAAATGTGGCTCCATACCACTAAAGAAAACCACCACAAACCCACTTGAATTTTTGATGCGGATTGTTGGCGGGAGGAATTCTGAAGTCGGAGGGCAACCATGGACTGTGAGTGGAATATGTATACTTGTGGTATATATTATGAATTTTATTAAAAAGTAAAGCTCTAATTTATGCTTGACAGTCTAGTGCTACTTAAACACCATAACTTTTATAGCGTGCTGTGGTGGTTAATCTGCCAGGAGTGGGACCTGGAACATCACCCCTTGTAAATAGTCAAACTGTTTTAGTACAGTTTGATTTTTTACCATGGGTCTGCTGAATGCTGCGGCCCGCCTGCTTAGGAGCTTCAACTAGCAATTAGCTGGTGCTCTCATCTAATGAGCCAGCCTTGCACTGCGAGGCTTAACAGAATCTTCTATGCAGGTACCTCTGGCTTTCCTGTAACTGTAGTGGAGGTGGAAAGCAGTGCTTGATGCCCCCCAGGTAAGAGGTCACACTGTACTAAAAGAGATTGACTATTTACAAGGGTTAGAGTAGTCCTGGTAATAGTATGTAGTATGTATTTGCATATACAGCATGTATGCTCTGATTGATGCTGGCCAAGAGAGTTTTATGTAATTGGCAATAGACATTGTGTGTTTTGGTATATAACCACATGCAGATACACAGACACACACACAGATATAGACTTACTGACACACACACAGATATAGACTTACTGACACACATGTAAAATTTATATTTTAAACCCATCCCCCAGTTTCCTACCTTATGCTGGAGGATGGCTTTCCTGGATCCCAGTGTGGTGCCTGAATTTATTTTAGCTTTCCACATACCTCAGTAAGTAAAATCCCTAGATATTCACACAGTACAGCCCCTGCACGCACAACATCCCCTAGGCGAGCACACTCTACCAGCCCTATATATACGTACACATCCACCCATACTTTACAGCCCAGGAACACACATTTCATTCCCCTAGCCACACAGTACATTACAAACAGACCCTTTTACACACATGCACAGGGTACAACACAATCTATTCTACATGCATGAATCCCACAAGCAACCTCCAAACAAATACGACACTAAGAGAGCATTCCTATACATCCACAACACACTTTAGCAGTCTTGTTCTCTTTTGTTCTCTGGTATCTCACTATTGGGATACCGGAAACAAGTCATTAGCAAAAACAGTGCATACTTGTATTGTGCAGAAACAAAAACAGGACATATTCTCCATCCGAGACCACTGGATGCTCTGAAGGGGCATCATACTAAAATATTCATTTTGGGGGGGCAGGGATATTTTCTTTCTGGCTCTAGTGAGCTGCCCAGGCTGAATTTCTGTCCTAGTGCTGCCCTGCCTACAACCAATACTCTTAAGCAGCTGACAAGAAATTGGGAATTGCCATTAGCTTTGGGGACTAGTGGAAGGTACAAATTTCCCTTGGAAATCAGGAGACGTGAGCATTCCATAATCCTCATTTACACAATTTGTATTAATTTGCAGTTATTTATAATTGCATTTTTATTGTCCTAATTCATATATTTATTGTGGCTCTATATAATTTATATTTTGGGTTTTTGTTTGTTTTTACTCTTATAATTCCTTTATATTTATCCCTTTCCTCTGGTTTCTGCAAGAATTACACCTATTTTCTACCTAACAGCGAGATCTGCACCCAGCTTAATATTAATTTTAGAGCCAAAACATTTTTTTTCTTTTTTCTTTTACACAGTTTGGCCTCTAAATCACTAGTTTCCCCTTTGGCAAATTCGTAAACGTCTTACTGTTTATAGGTCGTGAATTGGCAATTCTCTTTATTTTAATCCACGGGCTCACAATGAACAACTGAGTGCATGGACTGTTTTTTTTTTGTTTTTTGTTTCCCTGTTGCTAGACATCGATCAGGCTCAGCACTACAGTATCCCCTCAGTTAGTTTCTTTTCTGACTAGCTAATATTTTAGTGATTTTTTTTTAAATTTTTTTAATTGTTTTTGGATGATTTTATTTCTACTAAATCTACTTCTTTGATTAATATAGATACAGCTGTGAGCATTTCTGTTCAAAAAGCAATTAGTGCTATGGGTCTGAGGTCTATAACATTATATAAATAAATAGTATCCAAGCTCCTTCTTCTGCTAAATAGGATTTTAAGACCCCCATGGCTAGTACTGACCAATTTTGAGATCCTTTATTATATCCAGACCTTTTTGAACAAAGACAGCCAAAAAACTAAACCTACTGAATCTATAACCTACAAAAAAAAATTTGATTACTAAAATCTCATCAAGGACGGAGTCTCAAAGAAAGGCAAGAGAACCCATGCCCATTGGTCAGATTATACAAGGTAATAGAAAACTGCTAAAAAGCAGATTGAGAGTTGTACAGATTCTGGCGATTGTATGGTAGATGTTTTTTTTTTTTTTCTCTGACTGCATCACAATGTCAGATGATTCCTATTCTAATAAGGGAAATTTGCTCACTTCCATGCCTGCTGTCTCAAACTAAAATGGCATTTAAGATCTTGCCAGAAAAAACATCTAAACGTTTTTGGAATTACTTGAATGTGTTATTTCTGGTGACAGATCTTTAGTCCTTTCCATCCTTGGATACAAAGTTATTAGCATTGCTGGCAATTTAGAGGCGGAAAGCCATATTATTACGATATAACCAAAATTGGTAGATTTGGCTATCACTGAGGCTGAAAAGGATGCCAATGGATTTCTTTTCTCTGACTGTTTCATAAAAGAACTTGACACTTTCATTAGTGCTTTTTTTTTAGCCTTAGTCAAGGCACAAACAAATATAGAGAAAGTATACTTTAATGTTGTTTTTAACAAGGCCGGCAAAAAAAGGGACAGACTGTCCCACGATGTGTATAGTTGGTGCTGGCGAATAGCTCCTCGGCATTTGCCAGCGCCAAGCTGCTGCTCTCTGCAGACATACATTTAGATGCTGCCTGCTAAAAGGGCACGTCCTTATATAGATTTGATAGTCATAAAGTCAGGCCTGCCCATGAAGGACCCACGTCATCTAGACAATCCTGCTGTTTGGAGTTGTAGAGATGACTTGTGCAGAATACATATTAACCTATTTAAATTCTGTTTAGGCCCTCACTCATTGCCCTGTTTTGGTTTCTGTGTAGCACGTATAGCGCTTCATGTGACTCTCTTGTGATTTCCTGTTATTAGCCTTGGCTTTGTTTTGACTTTGAGAATTTCTGTAATCCTGACCTGGCTTGTTTTTCTTGTATCCATATTTCTGTATTCCTAACTTTGATTCTATCCTTTAATACATTAAGTCCAACCACTCTAAGGCCTGATAATACCGCTATTGAACCCTCCATTTTGTGGGAATCCTCTTTACTGTGTGTTAGGGTAAATACATCTGTAACACATTCTTCCCAACTAGAGGGCATTTTTAGAGGGCCAGAGAATCACAAGGCTAATTAAACATTCAGAGAGAATGCAGAAAGTACTCAAATTCATTTGTTTCCAAGAAAAAAAGTGGCAGACTAAGGCATTTTTTTCCAAGCTTGGTGTAAAAACAAAACAAAAACAAATTGGATTCATGGATTCTAAATACAGTGAAAGGATATGTAATAGTTTATTTTTCATCCAATTCAAAAAAGTCTTGCTGGCCCAATGTTCAAACATGTATCTCTGATCAAAAAAGAAGTTGAAGATCTGTAGACAAAGGTTTCTCTTTACCATCTAGGTTACATCAACAATCTTTTTCTTCAGATAAAAGGACAGATGCAACTAGTCATTAACCTAAGAAAACTAAATTCCTTAGATTGTTAGACACTTCAAGATGGAAGGCGTTCACTGTCTAATCTGTTACAAAAGGCTGGTTTCTCAAAATAGATCTAAAGGATGCCCTTCTGACAGTTACTGTACACAATGATTCCTAGGACTTCCTTCAGTTTCATTGGAAAAGGACAAAAAATAACTTTACATGTCTTCCTTACAGTCTCTTCTCTACCCCTTGTTGTTTCACAAAACTGAAGAAGCCCATAGTCTAATTTCTGCACAGCAGAGGTGTTGTATAAAAAGTTCACTTTAATATACTATATTCATTGGACTCTGGATCTTCTTACCAATTTGTATTTCTACCGGGTTTGCAACACTTGAAGATATGGAAGATCTTTCTTACTCTGATCCCATTCCAATAGATTGGACTGTAAAAGAAGAACTTCAATGGTGGTTGGACCATATGGAAGCTTGGAATGGAAGACCCATTTTCAGTTCAGAACCCAACTTAGTCATAGAATCAGACGCCAGCAACTATGGCTGTGGAGTGAGATGTGGTAACACTTCAGCAGGTGGAAGAGGAAGTTCAGCTACACATCAATTGCTTGGAACTTCTTGCTGGTTCTTTTGCTTTGAAAAGTTTGAAAAAGAACATGGCGAATGTAAAAATGTAATTTAAAAATAATTAAATTAATCCTCATTTTGTTTCTTTTCTAGTTTTATTCTATGATGACTGTGATTCATACATCAGTTTCATTGGTTCTGATTTCCAACAACATTATCTATCATTTCCATTTGAGGAAGTTTCAATTTAAAATTGAAGATTGGCCTATACCTTTATAAAGTCTCATCCTACATTAATTTTGATTGCGTCTCTTGCAAAGAAAGAGAGTTATGGAATGTTCATGACTCCTCTTATAACCTGCCACTGATTTAATAGTTATGTACAATGATGTAATTGCATATTTTATTTTTCTTTCATTCTGTTTGTCATTTTTTTTCTTTTGCTGCTTTTTAAAGTAAAGAAAAAGATAAGTATAGTACTCCGCTCCGTGTCTTAATAAAATCGTGATTGTCATGCATTAGTAAAATCTTTGAATTGTTTTACAGTATTATCTAAACTTGTTTTATCTTTCTGTATTTTTCAGGTGTCCTTACAGTTGTATGGTAATCACATCTGTGGGGGCAGTATTGTACAGAGAACATTGGTGGTAACTGCTGCACATTGTGTGTATCCTGGAGATAAGTATGTATCACTCTGTCACATTGTCATCTTCACTGTCAAACAACTTTCAGCACCTTTTCTGATCTCTTTTAGAAGCAAAGTGAGCCACATGACAGTGATTGTCGGAGATTATGATCACAGCATCGTTGATGTTCAAGAACAAACCATCCCAGTGTCAAATGTTAAGATACACCCCAAATACAAAAATGATGGTAGCCTGAGCTACGATATTGCACTACTGTACCTTTCTAAACAAATTGACTTTGGTTAGTAACTTGCAGAAATGTGAGATCTAAATAGTGTATTGCTAATGCTGATAGCTACCTATGGAACATTACTAGTTGCTAGGGTTCCCCAAAAGATATATTGGGCAAAATTTTAAGGTTCATTTTAGGGAACTGCACCAGAAATCTATTAAGGCTAAACGCTTCTGTCTGCCAGTTGTTCCACTCCACCACTTAGCTTTTAAAGCTGCAAGCTTGTACTAGGAATTTGAGTCTTTCCTGGAAATGTGCACAGTGACCTCATGTATGGTTCTTAAATGATATCTTGCACTCTACCTGTATGAGACCTCTATCCTGATGTGCTGTTTCAGGTTCACAAGTTCAGCCAATCTGCCTTCCACAAGCAGGGGAGGAAGTTGAGCCCGGGACCTTGTGCATCTCCAGTGGCTGGGGAAAAGTTAATGAGTGTAAGAGTGTTTTTGTATGTATTCATTTATGCACGATTATGGTTACTGACTAAACCCAGAGTTTTTGCCAATTAAGTCCAAATGAAAATGGATGCAAAAATAGTAACATTGCGACTATAGCTGAGGTGGAAACTTTTTCCAGATTAACTATATACTTTGTGGAAATTCTGAGTTTAGTGCATAACCTTGTATATAAAAGTATTGGTAATAAATACCTTATGAATAAGGTATCGCCTTTTAGAGCACATTTATTAAATAAGAAAAAGGCAGAAGACCATAGTGAGAACCAAATATATAACCTAAATTGAGGTATACATAGTTATGTTTGATAAAATATCACCAGTGCCTTTATTCCTTTAATAACACTTGCTAACTGTAACCTATATTATGCATGTGTATCGAGTGATGGGAACTAAAGAGATAAAATATCTAGAAATGAAACTGCTTAATGCTGAGGTGAAGATAAAATTGGAAATTGGAGGCCTGTCACTGGATCATGCAGCTAAGACTGCTAACCGCTAGTATAAGAGATGAGAAGACCAGGAGAGCGAGAGATGCTTGCTGCCAACTAAAGAAAATGTAGCAAAGTTGGAATGTGCCAATAAGCTGCAAGATGTATGGACACGGGAGTGGTCAATGAAAGGGGAAGTAGAAAGGAGACATAGAATGTAGGAAGCCGGAATTAGGAAGATCTGTCATTATGCAGTGAGAGGACGGCTGTCATTGCAGACGGAGAGAAGAGAAAGAAGGCTGTCATTGCAGATGGAGGGAGGGCGAAGAGGGCTGTTATTGGGGATGGAAGGAGGGAGGAAGTGGGTTGTCACTGCAGATGGAGGAAGGGAGAAGGCTGCTGTCATTGCGGATAGAGGGAGGGAGAAGAGCATATGTTTAGGGCCTCATACTTGCAGGTATGCTTGTGGTGCTGCCTGCAAATGAAGACACTAACTCCGAAACCAGTGCGCAGTGCATGCTGATAACAGACGTAATGTTTGCACAGAAATAACATTAGGCAGTCTGAAACAGAGATCCAAGTGGCCAAAGTCATGTGTGTCAGAGGTGCAATTAGACCCTGCTACAAAAGTGCAGCTGTCTCTGTATAGGCAATGTTTCAAGCATAAATGCTGCACAGATTGAACAAAGCAGACGTAGTCATGGGGATTGGAGGAAGACCGTAACCTTACAACACCTGTTCTGATAAAAGCTGTTCCATATGTTCTTTAGATGGGGAGCTATCTACCATTATTCAGGAGGTGAAGCTTCCAATCATTGATCATTTCACCTGCAGCTCTGTGCTGACCTCTATGGGGCTTCCAACTCTCCATGAGACCATGCTGTGTGCTGGCTTTCCAGATGGAGGAAAAGATGCGTGCCAGGTAACACCCAAAGAGCTGTGTTGTAAGAAATTTTTTTCTCCAAAACTGGTATAAATCAAAACTGGTATAAACCCCACTGATTTAGTCCTGGGAATTTAACCTAAAATAAGGGTTACCAGGGCAACAAGAGGTCTTGGGCCATCTTGAGGCTATTCAGCAAGGTCTGAGTTTCATAACAAGTTTTCCAGCTTCTGTGTAAAGACTTCTCACTTGCCATTCAAGCAACAAAGTAAGAGTAGTTGCTTCTTTTTCCAAAATGCATTTGAAACATTGCCAATTTGAATTTCAAATGCAAGATAATTTTAGTGAAAACGCTGAACTACATGGCATACTTTTTGTTTTAAAATTGTTCTACTCTTTTCTTTTTTCTTTTTCTTCAATGAGATCTACTTCTGAATTTTCTTTGCAATAAACTGTTAAGTTAAAAATATTTGAAATAGATTGTGAGATAAATATATGGCCTGAATTTTTCTCTCTAAAATTAAAAATGCGAAAAACTCAACTCATACTTGGCACACTCAAACACAAGAAAATATTCAAGATCTGGATCTTGGATTGCTGCTTGTAGTCTCCCAGTAATAATGTAAATTTTTCCAGTTTTTCAATTTTCCAAAATTGCTTGGTTTGAATATATTCCCCAGGATTACAATCCCTATTCAGATATTTTCTCCTTTTTAGTGTTTTAGTTAGTGTTTAATGAAGATCTCCTATAATCTCACATCAGTAGTCTCTCATCTCTTCTCTTGAAATGTTTAGTTTGCTACAATTTTTACATACTCTTTTCTGTGTTATGTGTTTAATAATTCAGGGTGATTCTGGGGGCCCCTTGGTTTGCAGACGGCGCACAGGGAGTTGGTTTTTGGCTGGATGTTCATCTTGGGGTCTTGGGTGTGGAAGAGCTTGGGGCAATTCAAAGCCATCAGAAAATGAAAGGGGTACACCAGCAATCTTCTCCAAGGTGTCAGCACTTTTGGACTTTTTGAGAAACTCCACTATAAATGGTAAGTGGCATATTGGTAACTATGTGTAAAGAACAAATGAAGATTATGCTACCTTTAGTTTACTTACAATCTTCATTTTAGTATTAAAGGAGGCTAATATTATGCATTAACTTTTTTTCTCAACTTCATAGAAGCAAAGTAGAATAGAAAAACTGAGAAGCAATCATAAACCAGCATGGTTAATAAGAGTTACATGGAACCGAAGCTCCTCCTCTTTATCTTGCGACATCACAAGTCCATAGTAAACAAATTAAATGTCAATCTATAAGGAATCCAAGAAACAACCAGTATATCAAGTAATCCAACAAGAAAATCCCCAAAGTGTGAACATCAGAAGTGATTTAGGCTGAAAGATATCAAGAAAAAGTTTAGCCAAATGGAAGTGAACACTTGAAGCCAAAAGACAAAGCAGACAATAATGAATGTGATGAATAATTTATAAATTACCAAGTGGGTAAAAATATTAGGTTCTACGCAATTAAATGAAACAATTCAAAGTGAATTAAACAAATAACCTGAACATAAACCCCCAAACTTGCCAATACCACACTAAAATAAGGTTTGGGAAAATTAAAAGGGGGGGGCAGAGGGTGATATTTGCCTCCTGTCATTATTATAAGTAAGTTTATTAGTACACTAAAGCTAGCATAACCGTCACTTTTACCATTTTAACGCTGCAGGATAACCGAAAGAAACAGCATTAGACGGCGGAAGAAAATAGACTGGCCGGAATGTAGACTCCTGCGACCAGGCCACCACCTGTAAAATAGAGAGAGAGAGAGAGAGGCACCTGCCAGAAAAGCAGCCAATGCCACTTCCCCCATGGACAGAGTATGCCCCAATTGATGGATCAATTCTGGCCATGGACAGAAGCCAAGGAATCCATCTGGTCAAAGTCATAACCGAAATTGTACCATAAAAGATGAGTAGCTGATGGAGTCAGCTCATTAATCGTCTCCACATAGAAACGTAATGCCGATGTGATGCAAAACTGAAGATCTGAAGGGAAGAATGGATAGAAAACAGATGACGAGTTAGCTTTAGTAAGATACGCTGGTCCTTCTGGTGAAAGGGAAAAAGAATCCATGTTGAATGCATGCATGTTCAATACCCGATGGAAAGAGACCATAAGTTGCTGAAGGGAAAGACTACATTGCCAACTTACCATAAGTGTGTATACTTGATCCTGGAGGGCATTGCAACCCATCCACCGTCTTATCTTGGATAGTGACTTGAGCTGACTAAGTAGCCGACCAAACGCGTTAGTAGAATGGTAAGACTTACCCGGCGAAAAAAGAAACAAATTTCAGCACCGAGGAGAAATGGGGGCAGTAAAGGGATTGAGGCATTTCCTTGTCCCCAGTGTCCAGGAACCCCATAGATCATCTCTAGCTGTATGCGATGGTTCACCGGCATGCCAGGAACCCTTGAAAAAGTCCAAGCCAGTAGTGATAGTCGACCGTGCAGGAGCATCAGAGGTGGGTCCCTGTTTGCATCTGTGAGGAGCATCGGGTCTTCCCATTGGTCGTATCTGGGGTTTCGTAGCATTGGTTGTATCAGGGGTTTCGCCATAGAAAGCAAGCCTTTAGGTATTACATAGCTCGATAATAGAGTGGTCTAGGGAAGAGTGCCAGGATGGACTATCTGTTCAAATAGTCGGAGTGGTATAGAGTCGCATCGCACTGCCTTTTGGATCTCATTGCGAATAGCTGCAACTTTCGAAGAAGGAAGCTATAGAGTACAAGAGGTCGAGTCTACCTAGAAACCCAGGAATTGGACCTTCTCTCCTGGATCCAAGACTGATTTGATCTGACTACGAAGCCCAGGAATTCGGTGTAATGAGTGTGGTCTTACAGCAGTGCCCTGTTGCCACAGAAAAGCAGAATGTCGTCAAAGTAAATTATACATTGTATACCCCAGGGGAAGTGGATACCCTCTATTTTTAAGTGTTGATAGACAATGTGAGTGTTTAGATCCTTCAGGATGATGACCTGGTAGAACTACCCAGTGTTCTTCTTGGCCCCTGAGGGCGGTTGGATAGCACCTTTCACATGCAGTTTAAGTCCCGTTCAATGAGATAAGCATCGGCGGACATGTAGTGTGGGGTGTCTGTAGGCCAGAAGCAGTTGGCAACACAGCCCCTCTGTCAACCAGCCCTGCCAAAAAGAGGTATTGGCACTGAAGACCTTCCTCATCGTGGACTGTGCCTTGTTTAGGGGCATGAAACTCTGACATGTTTGAGTCCTTTCATAAAGGCCTCTTCAAATAATTTGCCTTGTACCTGTGGGCCCAGTTCTTTGACCCCTAAAGCAGCCAATTTGCCATAAATCCTAAACCGTGCTGCTCGGCATATCTCCAAAGAGAGGGCCACGTTGGTATTGCCCAGGAGAAGAAGCGTGTTGCGCCCACTCATGCACCATATCCACATCAAAGGATTTGGTTCTGGAATAGGTGTCAGCCACCAGATACGTGATCCAGGCCAGTAGCCCAATAGCATACAAGAGCTTGTCCTGAGCCTATTTGAATCCCTTTTCAACTCCTTTGTGCGGGTGTCTTCCTCCGCAGGCCATAAAAGCCAGCAACAAATAGTCTCTTGAGGACCTCCTTATCCAATGATTTTCGGCTTTCAGAAATGCATGAGCTTTGCCAAGTGGTCAGAGTGGGGATGGCGAATGTTCCATGGGTCAAACATTCTCTTCCCGGTAGCATCTAGAAAAACCTTAGTATCTTTCAGGGCTTCCATACCATCTGCGCCTTCAGTCCCCTGATACTCACCCAGGAAAGTCTCTTTAATGAAGATCTTTTGGAGCCTGAAGCCCCAGCTCTTGAAATAGATACATCTGCCTGCCACTCATCTACAATTGACTGGAAGTGTGTTAGACCACACTCCTTGTAGGTGGAGGGGTCATGTGCGTGCCCGACCTTGTTCAGCAGCACTATTAGCCAAAGGGGCTCACCCCAGCCAGTATGACAGGGTAAATCCACTGGCACATAACCACCCTGGGGGCAATAAGTACCAACCTGAAATTGGTGTGACAGTAGCTTAAAGCAGATGTTAAACAAGATTTTAACCAGAGGACACAGTGCATTTAACCGGAGGAGATGGTTGCACAGGTCTCACGATGTTCACAACTCAAAATGGCCGGCAGAACTATGATTTGGGGCCATAATGAGGCATTTGGCTGCAAATTTGCATGATTAGGCGTGGGCTTAAGGCAGGAGCAAATACAAGCTTTTGGCTGTTTGCATCAGAACAGGTAGCAACCACGTGGGCAAGAGAGGAGGCAGCACCGGACAGGACTGATGTTCAGCACTGTAAATAGCTAAAAGGAAACCCTGCTTTTTGCTACCAAATGAGGCAAGGCACAGGGATCGCAGCCAGCACCCACCATCGGTTGACGCAATGCATAACAAGATACTGGAGCGGTGAAAGCTTCACAGCCAGACAAGAAGGGATGAGGGGACCAGGAGAGCAGGCCCCTGATGCACCGGACGACCGTTAGCTCAACCCGTAGCATGAGGGCACCCCAGAGGCATCATCCACCACTACTAGATGTCCCGGAGTAGGGGGGGAAACACTCTGGGGGAGGGGGCTATCGAAAGAATGATAGCCTAACCATCAACAATAAAAACACCTAATCAGAAATAAGAAAATAGCAAGGAACAATGGTAGTCAAGGGGAAGAACGCAGAACAGGAGGCCAGTGTCTCACAAAAGTAAGTACACCCCTCAAATTTGAGAAAAAACATAATTTTCATGTGACAACACTGAAGAAATGACACTGTGCTACAATGTAAAGTTGTAAGTGTACAGCCTGTATAACAGTGCAAATTTGCTGTCCCCTCAAAATAACTCAAAACAATAAGTATGGTTAAATCATATATTCCAGAGAAAAAAGAATATTTAAGGTCATATGAGGAGAAGGCAGGAGATCACTCTTTTCTTTATGCCTTCGGCGATTCCAACACCAAACGCTTCGATGTCTCCTCTCATTACAGTATGACCCAGATTTGACTTGTATTCTGACTATTCTGCTTTCTGGTACCCTTGACCTGGCTATTTATGGCTCTCCTCTCTTCTGGTTCCTTTGATATTTTGGCTTGTCCTGGCTATTCTATCTTTATTCACTTTAACAATTGTCGAGGATAAATCATCCTTTAATTATGTTCAGAGGAACCAAAATCAATTCAAGCGCTTGGAGAAGCAATAAGGCACATGACACGTGGTAATTGTATATCCAGAATAATTGCATCTAGCTTTATTGGGGAAGATCAGCTTTATACAGTAGAGGATACGTGCTTGCGTTCAAGGAAAGGAATGTAAGAAGAGACATATTTTTAAATGTCCAAAGAAAAGCAGTTTACGGAAGTACTCTGGTGGGGGCTAGTTTTTGTAAGAAAGAGAACTTTATATAGGACAGAGTTCATTTACACAAAAAGCATATCATGATCTAAGTTAGCCAATTTTAATACAGACTGGACCAAATGGCATCTATAGCTTGATCTGTCTCGATTTCTGCTAACATTGATATGTCATTCTGTAGAAATGGTATAATTACACTTCCTTTACTTTTTGGGAAGAGGGGCTGCCATCTATAAACGTTTGCAGACATTAAATGGGTGGAGTGGGTTCCTGGCAGAGAAATTAATTTCTATATAAGCTGGTAATTATATCTGGAGTACAAATAAGTCAGACTTGATGGACTAAATTTGTTTTGCAAAGCATTGAAAGTAAAAACAAGGTAACATAACTGGAATTGGCCAGACTCTCTCTAGTTGGAATTCCTGGGTGCGAACACTTTTTTTTTTTTTTTTTTCCCAGATAGTTTCTTTAAAAAAAAGCCACACAAAATAATGCTACAATGCCATAATGATATCAGTATTGTCCTGTAGATTGTTTTCACAAGTATTTCACTTAAAGGCGAGCTGTGATCTCCATAACTATTACCTAGAAAAGTGCATTGGGGGAATTAATGAAAACATTTCTTGTAGGAAAATGTACTTCAAAAGTTCTGAGCTTTAGTGGTGAAAATGGAACAATTAAATACCCATCAAATGCAAACACAAACTATTCTGATAACAGGTGGGTACCATTTAATAATTAAAATTATTTTAAATCATTTTACAAAAAGCTGTTTTTCATTTTTGGGGCGATGGCTTTAGCACAATTTCACTTTCAATTGATAAATTCTGTCACGAGTTTTGTGCTTTTCCATTTATTCTACTTGTTTTAAGCAAAATAATATCTTTGGCATGTTCACTTCTTGTTCCTCAATTCTTTGAAATCCCATGTACCTGGCCTAACCTTGGCCAATGTGATGGCAGTACCTTCTACAAATGTGTGCTCTATCCCTGCTGACAATCCTCACAATCTTGATAACATTCCATGTTTTTTTAGTTACTAACTTTCCTGACTTGTACGCAGCCTATGCAGCTGGAAAATTACAGTGGAAGAAAATAAAATTATTCAAATTAAAATATTACTGCTGGACATTGAATATCATACTAACTGTATTTATGACTATCTGTCGTTTGATGTTGAAGACAAAGTTATCAGTGAGTATATACACGTGTAGTCATTTTGGTTCATAAGGTTGAGGATAAACATTCAAAATAATTTTGCTTTGTCAAAGAATGTGAGCAATGCAATACCAAGAAAAACATGATTATAATAAACGTGTTGCGCAAGTGTGTAAACAGTAATTTGTGTGTGTGTGTATATGTGTGTGTGTGTGTGTGTGTGTGTGTGTATATATATATATATATATATATATATATATATTTATTTTTTATTAGGTGGGGTTTAGTTACTGTATATGATCATACATTGCATAAGCCTGCCACAATGTCAAAGTACCCAATTCTTGGCAGGTCCTACTTTGACAACCTAATGCCTGCTCTTATGAGATTAAACCACTTACTTGGGTAATAATTCCTCCAGCACAAAATAACAGGGAGGGAGAAGAATGATTGATTATTTTAAATAAGTGGCTTTATACATTTTGTATATTTTACATAATGCCAGAAGGTATTGACATTTTATTTGAAAAACAAAATAAATGTGTTTTTTTTGTATTTTTAGATAAGATATGTGGATCGGTTGCACCATCTCCTCTCTTGATTCCATCCAATCAGTTGTCCATCTCCTTCTTCTCTGATGACTACATTACGGGCTATGGTTTTGAGCTCAACTTTTTTGCATTACCAGACATAACTGTTGCAGGTCTGTGCTGAATTGCAGCAACATTGATTATGCTATTGGTTATAGAAAGCTTACAAATATTTTATTTACCCTGTTATAGGTTCTGGCTGTGGTAGCATTGCCGTTTTGAAGGAGGAAGGCAAGATATATACTTCCAATTATCCAGGTTTATACCCAAGTCTTGCAACATGTCACTGGCTCATTGAAGCTCCCAAGGGAAATATAATTAAAGTAAGTAAAATTTAATTTGGATAATCCATAGGGATGGCTTGTGGATAAGTCAGTTTCACCATTTCTCATTAGGTTTACCTAACTAATGAAAAAGGAGCTTGGATCACTGGATATACAAATCTAGTGGTTCGAGCATACACTGGAACTAAAATAATGGATATCAAACTGTAAAAAATAAATAATATTAAATTGGGAGGCAAAAAAATACATCAAATATCCATCCCAAACATTAAGGTCATCCAAATGTGAAATAATAAGACAAGCCGGATAGGCTTAACCTCACAAGTACTAAACCGTGACTACAATACACCTCAGACTCCTGACTTTATTATGACTTTATTGGTCACAGTCTGTATATAATGGCAAATTAATATCGATGAGATCACGGATAGAAAGTCCTAATCCCTAAGAGACTGCCTGGAAAGATAAATAATTATATTCCGACAGTCAAAAAATAACAATATGCTGTACTCACTATTCGAGAATATATAACTCCGCTTGATCCTAAATAGCTCTATAGTAACACTGTACTAAATTGATGCCATATAGAAACAGTAACCAGAGATCTCTAAGAAAGTATATGTCTCTCAAACTAATGTATTAGTAGCCAGTGAGGAGACTAATAGTTACAATAATAAAAAGTCTAGTAATAACGTATCTCCTTCAAAGGTTACTTAGTAAAGAAAGGGTATTAGGACTGTAAAGGAGGTTGAAAAATTATATAGTGCTAATGTGCAGAACCATACTTAGGATGTTGGTTACCTGCACATAGTGAAAGTGCCCAGTGTGATAGTGAGTGAGAAAGAAGAACAGAAAAACCAGACGCGCTTTTCGGTGCTTAAAGCATGCACCTTCGTCAGGGGCCAGAATTGGAATGATTCTAAAGGATCTAGTTTATATACCTATTTCTTCCTCTACATAGATTATTAGTGAACCAATCAGTAACAAGTAACCTTACCGTTATTTTCGCGCCAAAACTGTCGGCGTTTCAATATGTTAATGAGGCTTTCGAATGCCCTAATCGGATTACATTACAAGGTAGAGCAATCAATTACTCAAGCTATTAACTCTTTGGTACCCTCAATGTGAGGTCCAAATAGTGCTAAATGTGATGCATCCTCATTAATGGGAGTTTTCCATGATACCCACATAACAATAAACTCCTTCTTAATCACTGTGGACCCAAATAAATATCCCTGTTTTTTATGTAATAGCAGTCACCACTTAGGTAATTTATTTTTGAACGATTGCTCTAAAAGGCATTTGTACAGATTGAAAGGTGATAGTAAATTTAAAGATAACTTTCATATATTTATTTGAATTTATCAAAACCGTGCCGTCCTATGTATTACATATAAGGAATATATTATTTCACATTTGGATGACCTTAATGTTTGGGATGGGTATTTGATGTATTTTTTTGCATCCCAAGTTACTATTATTTTATTTTTTACAGTTTTATATCCATTATTTTAGTTCCAGTGTATGCTCGAACCACTGGATTTGTATATCCAGTGATCCGAGCTCCTTTTTCGTTTATAACTTAGGGGTTAAGCCCCAGGACACCCCTGGAGTGTCCGTGAAGGTGTTTTGGACTTCACAGTGGGTTTGGTCTTTATTCTTTTAGGCTTAACCACCACTAGTGGTCTCTATTATTTACTTTACCTAACTAATGGCATGATAACTGTAACGGAGCGCCTGTACCCAGAGTGGTACCTCCGCAGCTCCGCTGCAGATTCTCCCAGGTCTCGTAGTGAAGCAGTGATTATAACTTCTGCAAACCCAAACATCAGTTGACACTTGATGAAGGGTACAATAACTGGTTTATTCATCCAAAAGCACACATATTAATACAATAGCATGGGGTCTCTGTTCATGAACACTTAAGCCCGCCCAGGCATCTCTGTGTCTGGGAGATAATTGAGTTGATAACCGGTAAACTAATTACCCAGATGCAGAGAGCCTAACACAGAAATACCCCCAAAACATCCATTAAACATTCATGTAACCCCACATATTATACATCATTTTAAAGGGGAGATCAGAGTGCCCATTCTGGGAAAATAGCGCTCTGATCCATGCATAATTGACTAAATGCCACACAGACAAATTTAAATCCTCTGTGATTTATCGGGCACCGTATCTTCATGGAAAATGGGAGCTCCCTGTTCACGTCCGTGGACATAAGCTTCCCTCCAAAAAGCACTTTTCTGAGTCGCTGGGAAGGTGAGAAAATGGAGGGCCAATGTGACAGTGAAATCTTGGAGTCTGTAGCAAAGCCGGAGTTCCAGGGTGGCTTCAGGTTGGTCCCACTAATAGCATCAGGACATCCTGACTCCCAGTGAGGGGAGGAAAGAGTAGGAAATTGGACAGGGAGGTAGGAGCTCAATAGATCATAGACTTTTATGAGTCAGATCATCACAATAACAATGTTAAACAGTTACTCTATTTACTGAACTGTGTTTATACTATCACAGATTGAATGAACGATTTGTGAAATATGAATTTAGAATTTTTTTCTGGCGTTAGAATGGCTAGGAGACTGTAACCCTGTATTGTTATTGTGCGATTATGTTGTCAGAAGTGGTAAAGGCAGTGCAAGACATTGGGCAGAGGTTACAATGATGTCACTATGTGTAATTTTTGAACATTTAGCATTTCTAGTTATATTAAATCAGATAAACTTTTTTTTTCCTAGCTTACTTTTGAAGATTTTGCTGTGGAGTTTCAAAAAGATTGTGCCTATGACCAAGTTTCAGTTTACAATGACAGTTCAGAATCTCAGCTACTTGGTAATGAACACATTTCTACACTATTTAACTATACATTACTGGACAAAAAAAATTAATATACATTGAACAAATCTCTTTTTAAATAATTGTACTGTATTTTCCATTAAAGGAAAACATTAGTATTGATATATTGCTAGCTTAGACAGCTAAAATAATCTAATGTATACCCAGCAAACTAATCTAACAATCCATCCTAGCTATTTCAGTGACTTTTTCAATATGCTGGCCTTAATGTGGACATTCATCAAGATTTGTTTGTTTTTGTAGTTCTTTATTTATAAGTTCAAAGATGTAGTATTGCATACATGTTATACATAGTAAAGGTTTACAGAAAAGTTTACAATTTATGCATTGGGATGTAATTGTACAGTTTGACATTTGCCAGGGTATAATACTTTACAAACTGTTAAGCCGTTGACATATAGACTCTGTTTAGCTGGTTTTCATTGCGGTATATTGAGGTTAGTCAGGAGCATAGAACATGGTGTGCCCAGCTGGTATTTGTCTCCATTTTTTTATTTTTTTGTAAATCTCTTTTTATTTAAATTTTTTTCAAATGTTCCATAGTAACTCATGCGGGGAGGTGTGTAGAAACACGCAGGTTTCCAGTGAACAGTATAATAATTGGTTATACAAGATGTGCAGATCTCTAAAATAACAGTATAGAATGAGACACGCAGGTCTCTAAACAGCCTGGGTGGCTAACCAATAACATGAAAACATTTTGTTTTGATACAAAAGAACAGGTAGGTTGCTCAATTGACCAGGCCTGTTCTTGTGTTTTTCGGGGGCTCGGTGGTGTTACCCCGGTTTTGCTACTCCTAATATTTTTATGCTAGTTCTAATGTGGCCTTGTTTCCTGGGGGCCCGGGTCTGGTGGGGGCGGTACTGTGTGTCCGGGTCTTGGTATGGCTGTGTAGTGTGTGGTGTTGGAGTTGTGATCTTTGGTCGCTCTGGTGATGTGGCTGTCCCGTCTCTAGGCCTGTGGGTGTGGGTCTTGTGGATCCATGTTGGTGTGTGTGTCTCCTTCATGTTTGTGTGTTTTTTGGCCAATTCTATGATTCATTATGTTCTAGAGGTGTTGTGCGTTAGCTCCTCTGTCCCCCTCCCCCCCCCCCGCCCCCCCGTGCATGACCATTTGTCTCCATTTATAATGTTTTATTTATTTATTTCACTTATATGTTCAAAAAGTATTATTGCAATTTTGGTGTAGAGATAAAATGCCATAATATAGTTGACATCTTGTATTAGTGGATGTAGTCATAATAGTATACAATAGCCATGGTATATTACAATACATCATGTTGAGTCGTTTCCATGTAAACTACAGTTCGCTGGGCTCTCGTTGCAGAGGACAAGGGTGAGTAAGGAGTGGTTTCCCTAGTTTGCCGCAGCGCTTTACAATGGGTATAGGGGGTTGAAAGAGATGGGGGGGGGGGTTGATTGGGGGGGCAGACGACTAGGGGCTTCTAGTCTAAAGTAATGCTGTGAGTGCTATGTATTAGCATGAGAAACTCGGACACCCCCCCGCTAGTTATTTTGCGCTTTTGCCCCTTTCCGTGAATTCCTCCCACAGTTGACACACCTTGGTAAAGTAGGTGTAAGTATTCCGCACCTGTGCTGTCAGCTTATCCGTGAGAAAGTTCTCTTTTATTTGAGGGATGACTTTGTCGAAAGGGGGCGTGTTGGTGTTAATCCATGTTTGGGATAATACCCTTCTAGCCACTAGTGTTATGTTGTTTACTAGTTTCTGTTCTCGTGCTGTAAGTCCATCTAGTGGTTTGGCCAGGAGATAGGTCCAGGGATCCTTACCAACGGTCTCCTTAGTACTTCAGTCATCAATTTTTCTATTGCTGTCCCGTTGCTTTCTACCTTAGGACATGTCCACCACATGTGAATGTAGGTACCCTTCCCAGCCCATCCAGTAATCATCCGTAGGGGTTTTTCCCATTTGCTAAATTTAACTGGAGTGGTGTACCACCTCAAGTTATCTATCGTGGTTTGTAGTTGTTGTAGGTCCCCTTAAGTCACTTTTATTGGCAGTGCCTGAAAGATAAAAAAAAATATAAAAATAAAGCAAGGTAGGCACACTCAACTATTTACTGTAAAATAGCCGCTAAATGGAGCTCTATAAGAAAGTATTGGGTGCTCACTTACATGAGGCTCTATCCCCAAAAGCCCATATACATGTGAATACAAATAGAGTAAGGAGCACAACCTTAAAAATTAATATAAAGAAAAAATCTTTATTGAATGGGTACACACTATTAGAGTATCTCTTTAAATATGAAAAAAAAAATACAAAGTCATAATGCTATCAAACAACTACCAGAAAAAATTCCTGGATATACAGGGAGTGCAGAATTATTAGGCAAGTTG